TCTGATGAAGGGTCTAGGCCCGAAACGTCGGCCTTCCTGCTCCTATGATGCTGGTTGGCCTGCCGTGTTCATCCAGCTCTACACCTTGGTTATCTCAGGCTCAGACATAGTTAGGACAATCACGTTCCCACAACCTTAATAAACACTGCAAGACAAATAACCTTGCAGAAAACTTTAAATGGTAAAAGTTTCACTATACAATTGTATTGGAAACAAATTGATATTTGAATTTGTTTTCATAGTCTAATCCCAGAAGTGCCATTTACAATTACCCCCAAGACAGAAGTGATTTGTACAAATTACAAATCCCACAGCACATTAAATGTAAACTCTATGCAATGAGTGCCAAACATTATTCCCCAGCTAGGTTTCCTTTGAAACAGGCAACGATCATATAATACAAAACTAAAATATAAATATACTTTTCAGTTGGCAACAATAGAAGGTTAATGCCAATTTTCCAACGCTTAAAGGGCAAATGGAAAATAAATTTTAATTACAACTTATTTCAACAAGCACATTTCATTTTCTGTATTTCTAAATACTCTTGAAGATTAAAAACTTGAATTTCTATAGGGCCTTTCACAACTTCAGGCTATCCTAAACCAGTTTACAGCTGATTACTGACAGCTTTTAGTTATACATCTCTAACATAAAATGTCACAAAGCATTTCATAGGCATCAAGATTTGAGTTATGTGAAGCAACATCGGACAAATAGAATAGAATCCCTACAATGCAGAAAGAGGCCAATTGGCCTATTGAGTCTGCAGTGACCCTCCAAAGAACAACCCCCCAGACACAAACCCCTACCCATCCCCGTAATCCCAATTTACTATGGCTAATTCATCCAACCTGCACATCTTTGGACACAACGGGGCAATTTAGCATGGCCAGTCCACCCAATCGGCACATCTTTGGACCGTGGGAGGAAACCGAAGCATCTACCGGAAACCCACGCCAATACGGGGAGAATGTGAAAACTCCACACCGACAGTCAGCCAAGGCTGGATTTGAACCCAGGTCCCTGGCACTGTGAAGGCAGCAGTGCTAACCACTGAGCCACTGTGCTGCGTTTTAAAGAGTAATAGGGAAACCAAGTGTTTGAGACAGGGAATTCCACAGCTTAATACCTTGGCAATTTAAGTACTTTTAGAGATACATTCACGTTTTTCGCATTGCAACAATGATAGTCAATTTGTGCACAATAGGTTCCCACAAACAGTAATATGATAAATGATATATCTGTTTCTGTCATGCTCGTTGAGGTGTGAATATTGACCAGAACACTAGGCAGTTCTACCTTGCTATTCTTCAAAATGGCGTGATGCTACTTCTAATGCTAACCTGACAGATGGGTCTTTGGTTTGACATGCCATCCAAAATACCACACCTCTGATTGTGCAACACTCAGTACTGCCCTGTGAACAACAGCCTTAATTTTTATGACAAAAGTCTGCAATAGGACCTGAACACACAACCTTCAGACTTAGAGGCAAGGGTATTACCCACTGAGCTATAACTGTTACAGCTGTCACATTGTAGAAACAACCCTCAGTCCCAAATACTAGATCAGTACAAATTAAAATGACCAAATGATACAGCAAGTTCTGAGCAACTTATCAAATGGAATATAGTCATTAACAGATGCTGACAACAAAACTAATGATTCAAATGTGCTGGCCTAAGCATTTTTCTCTCATTACTTCCGGAAAATGATATCCACAATGGTACGGTCCCATAGGTATCACCTTCCCTTTCATTAATTCAATCATGTCACTAGCTCTGATCAGCACACCATGTTCCCATCTATAGGAAGCATCACACCAATCCAACCTCAACCCTATCTTCACTAACCTTCAGATATATGGAGCAAGAAACAGTATTTTACTTCCCACTCTAAGCAACCTTTAAAATGACAGGACTTTAAAATTACACCTGACCTTTTGAAAGCAATCATATTTCATTAACAAGTAGTAATTTCGTTAGTATAAAAGGCAATGAAAGAATACATAAATTGTGGCTGGAATTAAACAAATCCATTAAGTTATCAATTTATATATCACCAGGCAAACCTTACTAACAGATTCCTCCACACCCGTTAAGAGAAAGTTGTTAAAAACAAGTTAAAGAACAAACATACAAGAATATGAATGGGGAAGATTTTTATTAACAAAAATCTTTTAGTGCAAATAAAAGCACGCAATGTATTTTTAGTTTAATTTAAAACCCTTCGTCTCCACAATGAACCAGAACAGATATTTGAGCCTGCAATTCAATAGAGGGTCTATTTAAATCCAGCCAAAGAGGAAGTCCAATGAACCAGTTATACCACACACAAGAATCATACAGCAGACAGGAAAAGCCATCTGGCCCATTTTTCCATGTTCATTCCTTGAAAAACCTAACCAATTAATTCCACTTTTTCCCAAATAACCCTGCTTTGTTTTCCTTTTTGAGTATTTATTCAATTCCCATTTCAAAGTTATTGAATCCGTTTCCAGCCTGTCAACACATTATAGAATATAAGAAATCCCTGAATTTAAAAACAAACTGCTCATCTTCCACTTATTTGGCAATTTTTAAAAATCCATACCCACTAGTCATTGTCTCTCCTGCCACTAGAATCACAGTGTTACAACACAGGAGGCCATTCAGTACATAGGGTGTGTGCTAGCTCTCTGCAAGAACTCAATTCCATTCTATCACCCTTACCCCATGGAGCTGTAAACTATATTTTTCAGGTGCTTATCCAATTCACTTTTGAAACTTACGACTGAATCTCCCTCTACCAGAGCTTCTCAGATCCAACTGTGGTATAGAAAGATTTCTCGTATCACCTTTGATTCTTTTGCAAATCACTAAGTTGGTGGCCCCGATTCTCAACCTTTCTGCGCATCGGTACGGCTTCGCCCAATTGATTCTGTCTACGCCAAACGGGACTTTGAATACCTCAAACAAATTCTCTCATCCTTCCCTTCGAGGAGTCCCGGTTTCTTCAATTAATCCATACAACTAACGTCCCTCATTCCTGGAACCATTTTTCTAAATCTTTTCTGAAGCCTGCATCGCCCTCCCTTAAACTGCAATGCCCAGAGTTGGAGACATTTAACACTCCAGCGAATCAATGTAAACAAGCCTCTCCTTAGTTACTCCATCCTGATTTTGAACACCTTTATACAGTACCTCACCGCCTCCTCCCCGAGTTAATCTTTTCTGCTCCAAGGGCGGAGAATCACAGTTTCCGCCTATGTTTTAAAGAGGCAGGCGTACAGGGATGAGCACATGGGTTGAGGATTTACCGGCAAGGCCGGCTGCACGTGGGCCGCTGCCTCCTCCCCAAGCCCAGCGCAGGGGAGACACTCCTTCGCTAGGGCCCAAGGAGTAGGCCAAGCGCTGTCTCTCTCAAGCCTGACTCGGGTGGTGCCTCCTGCCCCCCGCACCAGCCAGAATAAAAGAACGACAAAGTAAAGAGACTGCCGCAGTTACCTCGGCTTGCTTCCGGACAGCGTTGTCAGGACTCAGGAGGTTGCTGAGCAGGAGATAAAACTGCTGCTGCTCCGCCATTGCGCCGAGTGTGAGAGAGGCAAGGGGGGGAGGGGGGGTTTGGGGGTGGGGAGACGGGATTAGCTGACCTTTGACACCTCGCGGTGGAGGGGGCGGGGCTACCGTGCCGGGGAAGAGGCAGAGAGGGACTCTGACGTAAAGCGCACGCTCAGCCGGCAGCGTGGTGGCACAACGGAGCTGGCCGCTGGCCGGGGGCGTGACGCATGCGCGCCTCCGGCTCTACCCCCTGAGAACCCAGCAGGCGGGGCTGTCGCCGCGTCCTCCGATTGGTCAAGCTGGCTTGAGCGCCTAAAGTGACGTTTCAGCCATTCAACACAAAAAAATGACCAAAGCGCGGGCGCGGGAAATACGATGATGTAACCATGATTCACTCAGAGCGCGGGAAATGGGTACTGCAGCTTTTGAATGAATGGTGCGCCTGCAATCTGTAGGCACCAGGCAGGATATCTTAAGGAAATATTATGGATATCTTCAAGGAAAATACTGCGGATGCTGCACATTTCAAAAAGAAATATTCTGGAGAAACTCAGCAGGTCTGGCAGCATCTATGGAAACAGAAACAGAGTTAATGTTTGGAGTTCAATTACTCGTCTATGAGGTGAAGATCTTATGTATCCATGACCTGATCAGTTGTAAAAATACAAACAAAAATGATACACCTTCGCTCACCAGTGGAAATCAGCTGCTTCAGCCTGTAAATGCTCGAGGTCAAAGGTCACCACTACACTACGATTTAAACAAAGTGCTGGGTAAACTTAGAAGGTCTGGCAGCATCTGTGAAGTGAGAAATAGCTAATATTCAGAGTATGATATGACTTTTTCAGCACTCAATATGATTACTTTCTTTTCGTGTATTGACTAAAGCTCAAAAAGTGGTATTCAAAGGCTGAGACAAAAATACAGCTACTTCATGGAATAACAAGGTGTAGAGCTGGATGAACACAGCCGGCCAAGCAGCATCAGAGGAGCAGGAAAGCTGACGTTTCAGGCCTAGACCCTTCTTCAGATTCCTAGTCTATCCATCTTCTATCCGCCTCCCCCTCTCTCCCTATTTTTTTCAGAATCCCCTTCCCCTCCCCCATTTCTGAAGAAGGGTGTAGGCCCGAAACGTCAGCTTTCCTGCTCCTCTGATGCTGCTTGGCCTGCTGTGTTCATCCAGCTTTACATCTTGTTATCTCAGATTCTCCAGCATCTGCAGTTCCTACTATCCCTCTTAAAACTGAAAGCAACATCCAATATTCATGCTGTGTATTTTCCAAGATTTTTTCCATCTCCTAAACAAGTAGTAATTCTTATCATCCAAGACAACTTCAGTCCCTCTATATACTGGGATTAGAACTGTTTCATCAACTTTAATATTAATTGGGTGGATGTCACCACTCTTTATTTGGTTGCCAGATCCGACCAACCCAACTGTCACTTGTAGTGGTTTCCCTGGGATTTTTCTGGAAGTATGATGTCGCTGTTTGTTACCTTCTCTGCTGCAACCCTTTCCACCAAAACATGGTCAAAGAGAGGCAGGAACCTTTCAAACCTAACCTGCCATGCCTGCTGCTACTTACAGAAAGTGCTTGCTTCATGCACAGTTTACTGCTATCTGAACAAGTGAATCTTGATGGCATTCTCACTCCTCCACCTGCTCCCACCCTGACCAATGATCCTTTTAAAATATTGGCAGCTTGTACTGTTATTATAATTTTTTTTGCACACGTGTGCGTGGCATTTAAGTAAAACCAGGCCTGTGCAGCAGCTTCTCAGGCTGCTGCATTTCCCTACATTGGTGTGGCTTCAGAGGAATACTTTCTTGGCCACCTATACTGTTCAAAATGCAGCTCAATGTAATACTCATCGGGGATAACAAGAACTGCGGATGCTGGAGTCAGAGACTGTTCTGAAGAAGGGTCCCAACCCGAAACGTCAACTTTCCTACTTCTCTGATGCTGCCTGACCTGCTGTGTTCCTCCAGATCCACGCTGTGTTGTCTCAATGTAATACAGCTGTTCACTTTCAATTATGAATAGCACAGTTTTCTAGATTCACTTAACATTGAGTTTGACAATTCCAGATTGCAATCTCTGACCCACCCTTGCACTTTTATTATTTTTCCTGTTTTGTTTGCTTTGTTTTTTGGACAGCAACTGAGAGAGTAAATTCTGTCTTTTTCCTATTCACACCAGGGGCAGCACCAGGCATACCTAAAAATGAGGTGTCAACTTGCATATCAAACAGCATTAGCTGCAAGTGATAGACCGAGCTAAGCGATCCCCCAACCAATGGATCAAATCTAGGCTCTGCAGTCCTGCCACATCCAGTCATGAATGGTGGTGGACAATTGAACAACTCACTGCAGGAGGAGGCTCCACAAACATTCCCATCCTCAATGATGCGGGAGCCCAGCACATCCGTGCAAAAGATAAGCCTCAAGCATTCGCAGCAATGTTCAGCCAGAAGGGCCAAGTAGATGATGCATCTCAGGCAGCTCCAGAGATCTTCAGCATCACAGAAACCAATCTTCAGTCAATTCGATATACTCCATGTGATATCAGGAAACGTTTGGACACACTGGATACTGCAAAGGCTATGGGATCTGACAACATTCCGGCAATAGTACTGGAGACTTGTGCTCCAGAACTTGCTGCTCTGCTAGCCAAGCTTTTGCAAGCTACAACATTGGCATCTCTAGATAACGTGGAAAATTGCCCAGGTATGTCATTTGCCCAAAAAGCAGGATAAATTGAACTCAGCCAATTACTGCTCCATCAGTTTACTCTCCATCATCAATAAAGTGATGGAGACCGTCAGTGCTATCAAGCTGCACTTGCTCAACAATAACCTGTTCACTGATGCCCAGTTTGGGTTCTGCCAAGAGAACTCAGCTCCTGACCCTCATTACAGCCTTGGTTCAAACATGGACAAAAGAGCTCAATTTCAGAGGTGAAGTGAGAGTGATTGCTCTTGACAGAAAGGCCATGTTTGACCGAGTGCCGAGTAAAACTGGAGTCAATGAGAATCAGGTGGAAAACTATCTGCTGGTTGGAGTCATACCTGTCATATAGGAAGATGATTGAGTTTGTTGGAGGTCCAGGACTTCTCTGCAGGAGTTCGTCAGTGTCCTAGGTCCAACTATCTTCAGCTGCTTCATCAATGACTGTTAGCACTGCCCAAGACGGAGCGACACAAAATGGCCAATGGCTGCCTACGGCGTAATGCAGAACATTGCTGACAGTAGTTAGAGCGTATGGGAAGATATTTGCTTGAATAGTCTCTGCAAGTACATCAATAGTAACTCTGCATAATCAAGGTTACTTAAATGAGACAGAATGTGCAGCTGCAATTGCTTACGTAGTGTTAAAAAGCAGAGGTTGACCCCCCCACTCTGATAACTAAAACCGAAACACCCAGAGAGGAGTACCTCACCCTATAACCTGTTAAAAGGAGTGTAAGAAGGGGTGTAATCCATTTTTTAGCAACTTCTAGTGGTTAAGTGAGCTAAACCACTGACACTTACTTTACAATCAACAAGTAACAATTTATTTATCTAAGTCTAACAGTGAACAAATTAACTAAATTATTAACAAATCGAATAAACCCCTTCTAACTACTAACTATTCCCAAATAAAACAAGATTCTAATGGTATGCTGTTCCAATAAATACAATTCCCATTTATATAAAACAAAAATAATAGAAATAAAACATAGTCTCTCGAAATTACAGCCAGGCTACGTGTCTTCTGGAATGTTCAGTGTCTTCTCTGTCGCATGTTCTTTCAGGAATGCCTTCTCCTTCGAATTCATCTGTCAGGAATATTAACCAGTTGTACCTTTGATTTAGATGGTGCTTTCGCTAAAAATTAGAGAAGATTGTGAAAGCTAGCAATTCTGTCTTGAGAGCTGTTAACTCTTGCAGATGGCAGTTCGCTCTCCTGTCCTTGCCCAAGTGCTCCTTCTTTTATACCCTTGATGACATATCAATATTCCTTACAATTGGATTGGTCCTGTATAGTCAAAACTATCAGATTTAAATTTAATTGGTTTTTGGTATCTGGTTGCCTGCTTCAAATTGATTGGCTAAATTTGTTGGCTTGGTCTACTGACTGTATGGGCCTTTTATGCAAATGTTTCAATTCAAGAGCTCTGGGCACCTGCAAACCCACAAGCTGCTGCCCACAGACATCCTTTTGAATCTCTAAGCATAGAAAAAGCACATCATCTTTTAAAGGGACCACATTCTGCTTCCCCCCCGCCTAACATTTTACAATCACCAATATTTTACAAACACCAAATTCTAACATTCTGCCTCCCAGTCCACGAATACTCTACCCAACTTCACAACAATAGATAAGAACGTTTCACACTAATTAGTTGTTTCTCTTGAATTATTTAATCAATCCGTTACAATATTAAGAGTAGGTTTTAGTTAACATTCTTCAGATAATCGTAGGCAGAGATTCTGAAGTAGTTATCGATCCACATTTTATATATATATATATATATATATATGCACACACAAAAAATCATAAAAGCATTAGAGGAAGAGATTTAAACCAGTTTCAGACAGTAAAAGTCTCCCCCCCAACCCCCATCACAACGGGGAGGAATGAATACAGAGATTAGCAGACATTGGAATGTGGATTGAACGAACGCACTAAGACACAACTTGTTAGCCAAAGAATTCTAACATTACATGTAACCATATAACTTTGTTGGAACTGATCAAGAATTGATATTCTTTTGTATTCCCTGTAATAAGAAATTTAAAAATTGCTGAAGTGATGGGCAAGTACCTACTTAATTGGCAGTTAACACAGTGCAGCTGGCAAATATTACTTGAATACAGTATCCATTGTGAAAAGCCTCAAGGAGAAAGATAAGAAAGTCTGGGAGAAAATCGTGAAGGATCGGGGGGTGGACCACAAGCCTGTCCATCTCAGTGATTAGCAAGTTTGAACTAAGATGCTGTATCCGAGAGCCAATTATAGAGGGACATCTCGACACCACTGACCAATAGTAATCAAAGGTGGGGCGGGGGG